TTTTATATTGAACCCCTATAGAGTGGGGGTAAACAGCTCCGACTTTATTCCAGCCCCAGACAATGTTATTGTGTTATTAGTCACCAACAGGCAACGTGCAGCCGGAGATAAGGCCGGGCTGTAAAGGAAATCACTGCTGACTTCAGAGGCAGACGCCCGCCGTCTGACAATTCAGGGGCAGGGCTAAGAAGAAAAAAAAAAAAAAAGAAAAAAAAAATGCCCCTTGGAGACCTTTGGTAAACCTGCGCGCGCTGCGCCGGAGCCCGCTTCCCCTTTGCGCGCGGCCAGCCCCGGAGTTCAAGAATCGCAAGGGGGACTCCGGCAAAGTCATGCCATTGGTATGAGAACTATGAGCCACGTTTAAAGAGATTGCATTGTGTGCGCCGAGGTTTTTTTTTTAAATCGTGGTTCGCTCGGTGTTCCTTTATACGTCCCTCCGATCTCTTAGCGTTGATCAAACGAGGGGGCGCTCTCCCTCGTCGCTCCCCGCCACTTATTCGGGGTCAAATTATTTGGGAGATAAAGAAGTTTTTTTCTTCCTTCGAGTCCCTCCCCTAAGTCCTTTTGACCGAAGTTCTTTGCGTCCGCGGTGAAAAAGATCAGGGCGAGGAAAGGAAGGGTGTGTGTGTGAATGAGAGCCTTTCAGTGTCACCGAGGAGAAGCCCCCACAAGCTTTTCTCTGCGCCCACCTTTCTTCTCCTGCCCCAGCGCCCCCGGCTCAGGAGCACCGATTTTAAGAAATAGCAGGAGAGGAACGCCAGGGGGAGACGAAGAGCTACAGGGGCTGATGCGTTAGGTAGACAAAAATAATAATAATAAAAGCCGTGGCATCCAGATCACATAAGGAAAGGCCCCCTGAGGTGGCAGCTGAAGGCAGGGCAAGGGATGGGCCCCACATAAGGAAGGGGGTGCCTCTCAAAGCATGTCTTTTGCTCCCTGCATAGGGACACCTTTTCTGGGACTTTTCCTTTGCCTTCTTCATTTAGGACAGGCCAGTGTTCTTGCACAGGGCTTGGTCAGTGTGCAAGGAGGGTGGCGCCAGGAGGAGGAAAGGGGGTGCTGAATAAGGGGATCAGATAATGCTTCAGGTTTAATAACATGTTTACATTTTTCCAAGGCATTTCCTGCCTTGTTTAACCTTGAAATGCCCCCCGGAGGCATCCACAGGGCAGCTACAGAAGAGGTGCATAAATCAAAACGTACCGTGTAAATCGAAGCGTAAATGTTAGATGTTGGAATTGTCAGCTAGCCTCGTTTTTTCAAGGGACGAAACTGAGGCCCCCGGAATTTCCGTGCCCCACCAAATTTCCCACCTTGCTTTGCTGAGGCCGCTGGGATGAATTCAGAGCATCTTCTGTGCACAGGAAAGGATGGGTCTGCACCCAGCACTTAGGGACCCTGTCAGATAGATGCTGCTCCGTTTATTTGCCTTGTGTCACTCCAGTGTCCTCCACCGTGGAGAGGGGCGAGGGGGAGGATTCAAATGTGGGCCCATTTCCCACACTCAAGAGGAACCCAGGAACTGTTTCTCCCCCCTTCTCTGCCTGTCTTCACCTCGAAGATCAAAAGGACAGATTTTTATCCCAACACCAAAGCGGTGGACCTGAGCACACTCTGGTCCCCTGGATCTCCCTGGAAGCCACCACAGCTGGGGAGATAGTAACAGTAGCAGTGTCAGTTCCATAGTAAGATCTGTCCCCTAAAAGAGCCACCCCAACCAGAGCTGGAGATGGGGGAGAGGCAGGAACCCTCCTCCCACATCTACACCAGGAGAGGCTTCCACCCACTCCCCCAGGGCCTCTGCTTTCTCCCTGTTTACCCCTGGGGCCTGGGGAGGGCACATGGCCCTTAGGACTGGGTGGTACCAAGCAAGAAGCCAGCTCTGTCCCCCTCAGCTCTGGCCAGTGTGGCTCGACCTCCTTCCCCCAGCAGAACACAGGGACAGTAGAAGAAAGCTGATGTCACATTCACAGGATCTACGCTTGCCCCATGAAGAGAAAGGTGACATGGGAAATGTGGCTTGGCAGGGGTCCCCCCACACCTTTTCTTTAACTTCCTGGCAACTTGGACAAAACACTGGTCACAGCCAGAACCAGCCTGTCTTAAGCTTTTCCCAGGAAATGACCGCCCTCACCCTCCCCAGTCTCCCTGGGTCCAGCCTGGGCCACCCTCCAGCAGGGAAGCCCGTCTCTCCATAGCCAGCCCACCCCCACCTTGGTAAGGCTGCCCTTGCAGGTGCCAGCTGCACCCAACAATCAGGTGGGGAAATGAAGCAAAATGAAACTACCCACACGCCTTCCCACAGCCCTCCCTCCTCTTGTCTCCTATCTGTGTTACCCTCTGAAATCCCTGTGAATGTATTTTAATTATAAAAACAAAAGTGGGTGGCGGTGCTCTGCCCCCACACCCCTCACCCTGGGCCTTCTGGGCTCTGCTAAAGTAAATGCACAGAGTTTCAGACCTGGGAGGGTCCCATCGTTTCAAGTACAATCTGGGCCCATCTCTTTGAATCCTGTTTCCAACATGTGCGCAGGCCTGTATGCGTGTGTGTTTCCATTTCCCTCTCTTTGTGTGTCACGGGGAGTGGTGGTGTCTGCCTTCTCTGTCCATCTCCCCCATCCCCACCTCTCATGGCAGCCCCTTTTCTTTCTGCAGAAGGAAGGAGAAGCCCCTTCCAAGCCCAGAGAAGGCAGCTATGGCACTGCCAGGCAGCGGCCCAGCAAGTAAGTTTCCCAGGAAGCAAGAGAGGGAGAGAGAAAGAACCCCAAAGAACCAGTTTTACAAGCTTAGGTGTTCCCACCTCTCCTTCACTCGAAGCATGGCTGGAGAGAGAGGTAGGAGAGGAGGGGGTTAAAAGAGCTGGACAAAGGAATAAATGTGGAGATCCCACCTCCCTGCACCCCCCACCCCCCCCAAGATCTAGCACGGGACAGGCTCTTTGTAGCCATAGTCTTCCTCGGAGAGGAAAGGGAAGGGAGGGAAGACGTCTTGTAAGGAAGATGGCTTTCCCCCAGTAGAACAGTTTGCTATTGCTGTTCTCCTTTTGTTGTTACACTTGGATTCTAGAAACTATTTGATAAAGGTATTTTTATGTTTCTTTCTGTATCTCTTGGTATGTATTAATAGCTATCTATAAATAAAACACTCTGGGCCCCAAATACAGATACTACACAGTAGCAAAGTGTACTGTTTTTAGCACTCTTCAGCTTTGCTCTTTCTCAACTTCTGCGTAATAAAATTTGCAACTTTGCCAGGCCAATAAATCTGGTGCTAGATGTTGCATTTAGCTCAGCAATAAGAAGAGCCGTTAGGTCTCTTGATGACAGCACAGAGAATGGGGAACTAGCCGAGTGCAGGCCCGGGAAGCTCTCCTTGCCGCCGGACCTGGCTCAGTCTATGGTGTCGACTGCTTCGTGTTCCTACTTTGCATAGTGCTGTTGTGCAAGACCGTGCACTGCAAACATCCCTCCAGGTTCATTATACACTTCCCCGAGTCGTGAACAAACACAGCTTCTCCCCACGGACCACAACAGGACGGTTGATTTAGCAGGGGAGCCGGGGTCAATGATGGGCAGGAGGATCCGTCTCGTCTCAGGCCCTTTGAAAACATATAAGGTTCGCAGCTCCACTTCCTTGACACTTTCATCCGCAAGACAATAACAGATAGCAAGTGTAAACTAGCCAGTTCTTTAACTAGTATTTCTCAAACCTCCGTCATTCATAAGCCTCTTTCACAACTTTTGTCATATTTGTGTGCCACCCACACATTTTTACTGAATATTTTTCCATCCAGCAGACTTACTTCCTTTACTTGAATAAATTTAAAGAAACGTATCATCGCTACTATTCTAAGCAATAATATACATGATATCATGGTTTGTAGAGTGAAATAATATACATATTTATATGGTTAAATAATGTACAGAAATCATAGTCTAATACATGTTCAAATGAACTTAATTGTGTGTTCATTAAGCCACTGGAAATAAAAAACTTTCGACCATGTGCCTTGTAAACCAGCGCTGGCATGTTTACCACCTTTGGGGAGCCCCGTTCCTTTCACTGCACTGTCTTATACCATATTGTGTTAAGAACTAAGCCCTGGTTTCATTCTGCTCTCTGACCTCCACTTTCCAAGATGGTCTCCAACGATTCCACATCAAACTGTCATATGGATGCACCTCAAAGAAACAGAAGTTCTGACCTCCAGAATCTACAAAAACAAAGAGTTTATATATATAAAAAGTTCCTAGTCAATACTGCCCCTTGGCTTATCAGTTCAATATTTGGGCAGTTGTCCTTTATCATATTTTCAACTCTTTATCCTGAAATTAAATATTCTTTCTAGTGTTTTCACTGACACACACACATGCACACAAACACACAAACATACACACAAACACACATAAACACCCCCCACCACCACCACACACACATCTGAAGCTATAGATTAGAATGGGAATGTAATTGTAATATGTCATACATCAGAGAAAGGCTACAAAGATATGAGGGCCAGTGGCTGCTTCTTCATATTTTTTTTATTT